AAAATTTCTACTGCCTTCTAGAAAGATCATGTTCTGATCCTGGACAAATAGAAAATGGTCATATCAGTATACCAACTGACATATTATTTGCCTCAGACATCTACTTCTCATGCAACCCAGGGTAAGTTTTCGCATACTAACCATTCTATATTTAACAAGTGAAAAAACAAATTAGAATTTAAGACGGAGATTTTTAGAAGTATGGACAGTGTTCACAAGCTCGTAGCAATAAAACAGTCCCTCTGCTCAAAGCTTTGCCTCATAAGCTTATCACAGTTAAATTTAGTAAAATGGGCTAAGAAAGGAAGATGTTTTATACCACCAAATTCTCCAAATTCTTAGGTTTCGGTACATGTGATTCATTATAAAAATTTAAATGTCATTGGTAAAGGAAATGACTTGCAGAAATTAAAGGCAAGATTTAAATGAAACCAGTCTTTAATTTACCTAAATAATAAATTGGCATATGTTTTTTAGCATGTATTTATTTTTTTGTTTTTCTTTATTGATTAAGGTATTACATATGTGTTCTTCTTCCCCCATAATCCCCCCACCTCCTCACTCATGCCTTCACCCCTTCCTCATGTCTGTGTCCATTGGTTAGGCCTATATGCATGCATACAAGTCCTTTGGTTGATCTCTCCCTCTTACCCTCACCCTCCCCTACCTTCCCTCTGAGGTCTGATCAATGCTTCCCTGTCTCTGTTTTTGTTCATCAGTTTATGTTGTAGGGTGTTGGGGTTGTAGGGGCAGGTAGATGAGGGTAAAGGGTAAATGGTTATAGAAAGAGATTTGACTTTGGGTGGTGAACACATAATACAATATATAGATGATGAATTATGGAATTATCCTCCTGAAACTTATATAATATTATCAACCGATGATACCCTATGCATTTAATTTTAAAAAAAGAGGTGGAGTTGCTTGCCTGACATCACACCAGAGCAGGCACTGGGACTTGGCTGTTGACTCTGAGCCTGGGCTGCCATAGACCTCCTCCCTAGAGGGAGGGTATTGAGTGGCTTTTAATCTCTGGATGGAATAAGTTCTCTATTTAGAGAAAAGGGACTTACTCACTGAATATAAGTGTCTCAGATACCGCTGAAAACTTTATATTCATTTTCTCATTTAATATCTGCAAATTGAATTATGATATTTTACTCTCTGTGTGTGTGTCCATTTTTATAAAATAATATCAGTATCACTTATCTCCTATGCTAAACACAGATATTTAGATCATTAATATCAAATCTGGGGGTACTTTGAACCCTTTAAGTCTAAGTGTATTCTATTATTCTTTTTTTAATTTAATTTTTTTTCTTTTTCTTTAAACTACCATACGAACTTTTATCAACTATTGTTTTGTCTCCATCTACTGGTATAGTGAATATTTTTAGATATTATGATATTCTGGAGAATTTAAGAGAATTCAACTTTTCTTGTCCTCTCATTATTTAGGTACAAATTAGTTGGTGAAAATTCTACTTTCTGTTATTATAAAGGAAATGATATGGTTTGGGCTGATCCATTTCCAGAGTGCCGAGGTAAGACTGAAAGAATCTAAGCACTCACGTTGTGGGCCTAAATTATCAATGACAAATTACTTCCTGTGCGTTAAGAATTATTCACAGTGTATATCTGTAGTACCCTCACCTTCTAATGTGTGTCTGAGCTAATTTAAAGACTTTTATCTGTAATTCTCCTTAATTTATTACCTTTGGAGATAAAGCATTAAAAACAAACTAAAGTTTGTGTTGTAGTTGGTCATTTATTATCTTGCCATTTCTCCAACCAGTCAGACAAATTAGGGTAGGGGAGGAGCCCTCAATGGACTCATCCCATCGGCCCTGAGAATCCCCCATCTAGTGGAGAGAGGCACTCCCAGAGGAGGGCCAAGCACCACATTTAAAGTGTGGGAGCTAGGGCAGGAGTTCCACTTGCCTGAGTTCAAAGATGATACTGACTGCAATGGTGTCAAAAAGTTCACTGCTTATGTTTTGTTCTATAAGTCTTGCAGTTTCAAGTCTTACACATAAGTCTTTAATCCATCTTGAGTTTATTTTTGTATATGGTGTAAGAAAGTGGTCCAGTTTTATAATTATTTTTTGCATGTATCTGTTCAGGTTTCCCTATAGCACTATTGAACAGACTGCCTTTGCTTTTATTTAGTTTTAATCTTTATTGAAAGTATTACAGATACCCTCCTTTTCCCCCTATTGACCTCTTCTAGCCCACCCTGTCCCTCCCCCGAGGCCCTCACCACCCTATTGTCTGTCCATGGGCTATGCATATATGCATACAAGGTCTTTGGTTGATCTTTTCCCATCCACCCACCCACCCCTGCCTTCCCTCTGACATTTAACACTCTGTTCCATGCGTCTATGTCTCTGGACCTATACCAAATGAACAGACTGTCTTTAACCAATTGTATATCCTTGCCTCCTTTTTGTAAAATAATTCACCGTATTAATGAGGATTTACTTCTGGGCTCTCCATTTTATTCCATCACTTTATAGGCCAGAACATATTGTTTGGTTATCATATTTTTATAGTATAGTTTTATATCAGAGAGTGTGATACCTCCCACCTTGTTCTTTCTCAAAAATTTCTTTGGTTATTTGGGGTCTTTTGTGATTCCATATAAATTTCAAGATTAGTTGGAAACTCAAACAAATAATAAAAGCACGGAGTCACAAAAAATGTAAAACATGAAAATACTAGAGAATATGAAGAACAGTGACAAGGGCAAATGAATACTGAAAGAATAAATGCAACATCTTGTGGGGTTTGAATTGTATGTAGAATACAGACATGCGGTAGCAATAAACCAAAAGACAAGAAGGGGTAACTTCAATTTAAAGGTTCCCAGGTTTCAGCAGTCCTAAAAAGTGGTAAAAGAGGTCATCTGCATAATTGACTTATAGTATAATACTGTAATCTCTAGGGTTGTCTTGAAAATAATAATAATATAAAAATTACAAACTAACAAAGGAATTATAAGGAATACTTAATCCAAAAATAAATAAGAACGAAGGAGTGACAAAAGGAAACATAAAATAAGTCCTGGCCAGGTAGCTCAGTTGATTGGAGCATCATCCAGATACACCAAGGTTGCAGGTTTGATCCCCAGTCAGGGTACATACACGAATCAACCAATGAATGCATTAATAAGTGCAACAAGAAATCTATGTCTCTCTCTCTCTCCTCCTCTTTCTTTCTAAAAAATCAATTTAAAAAGGGAAACATAAAATAGATGGATGGAATAGAATATTGATAGTAATGTGTTTGATCTAAACCTAATTGTATCAGTTAATTATACTGTGATTTGACTAATTATTGTCAGACTAGATTAATAAAGTAAAAGTGAACTATTTGCTATTTATAAGAGCCACAATTTAATGATAAGAATACTGAATAGGTGAAAGTTAAGGATGGAAAAAATATGCTATGCCAACAATTACCAGAAAATAAAAAGCTGTGTAACTCTATTAGTATCCAAGTATACTTTACAATAAAACAGTTAATCATCATAAAGAGGTCAGTTCAACAGGAATAGATCACAATCTGAAATCTATGTGCCCTTGGAAAAATAGCTTCAATCTCTGTATAGCAGAGATGGGCAGAAAGAAAAAGAGACAAATCCACAATTATAGTTTGAGAATTCCACATCTTTCTCTCAATAGGTAACCAAAAATCAGAATAGGGAAGACACGGCCAACAATTAAACTTTAAAAATAACAGATAAGCGTCTTGAACCCTCTAAGTGTTGTTGTTAAATATACATGGAATATTGACAATATGCTGGGCTCTAAAACACCATGCATTTAAGAAGATTGAAATTACTCAGAACATGCTTTCCGACCCCAGTGGGATTAAATTAGACAATCAAATAAAAAGATAACTAGAAAAGTAACTTCCAGGAAATTTAAACTGCAGTACTACAAAGTCCTTTGGATCCAAAATGAGATCTTGGAAGGACAAAATAAATTGTATAGATGTTGGCCTTAGACGAAAAGTCCATATGAAAACCTTACTTACCCTAATAGTAAAACCTATCATTTTTTGGGTGCCTGCCAAGAGCTGTGTTACCTGCTATGTACTTTACTTGGTATCCCTGGGGGAGCTTTGACTGCCAAGGGCCATTTGGATATTGATAACATCATTCATGGGCCACACAAAATTATCAACTTTAAAATTAGCCTGCTATATCTGGTCAAACACTTAATTAACTCACCCCTAATGCCTTGGCAGGACCAGACCAAACAATTTCCTGGGCCTTATACGGCCTGCAGCCACGAGGTTCCCCCCCACCACCACCACCACTGAAATAGCATCCTATGCGGTCGGTAAAGGATGTAGAAATACATGACACAACATCTGAGCGCCTAGAGCAGGATGTGTGCCGACACTGTTGGCAGTAGTAGTGCTGGATGATGTAGCACGTGGCTGCAGGGACAGACTGTGTGAAATAACTCTCCCAAATTATTTCCCTTATCCCTTACAGTAAGGTGACACAGTCTGCTCTGTTTTTACTCTCATTTTATATGCGAGGAAACCGAAGTTCAGAGGGATTAGAAAACTTGGTCTCTAGGATGCAGTGAAAACAGCCCTAAGCACTATTCAGTTCCGCCTTAAGAGGACTTTTGCATACACAATCTGGAAAATATTGTGCTAAGTGAAATAAGCCAAATGGAGAAAGACAAATATCACACGAGCTCGCTTATTTGTGGAATCTGATGAACAAAAGGAATTGGCCAACAAAATAAGACTGGGAGCAGGGAAGCCAGGACAGATTAACACACCTCCATGTGGGGTTTGCGGGACAAGAAGAGATAAACCAAAAACTTATGTACGTATATGCATAGCCCATGGACACAGGCAATAGAGTGGTAAAGACCTGGGGGGAGGGAACGATAGGGAGGAGGGGGGAAAAGGGTGAGAAAACAGGAGATATCTGTAATACTATCAAAAATTAGATTTAAAAGAAAACACAGTTAAATGGTCCCGAAGACCTAAAATTTTACTATGTTGTTATTTGTGATTCTCAGAATAAGCTCTTAACTGAAGTTGTGCTTTAGACATGTTAGCTCACCTAAAAGCCAAAGAGGAGCTAATCTGATGTGTGTAAAGTTGGTAGCCGGTACAAGAAGAGAAAAAAGGGGAAATTATTTTATTCTGACTTTATTACTTTAAAAAAGAAGTGAAACGAGAGACGTTTCCAAGGTCACTACCATATCCTGCGAGCTGCAGAAAACAGAACTCAGCGATTATCTCTGTTGTGACCATCTCTATTGGTCCAATGTCTGCATCCTGCTTTTCTTTGGTCTTGGCATGAGCAAAGGAAGACAATGTGAGAGAGAAAATATCTTTATTTGGGGTGTGTCAGAGAATGAGGTCACTGCCAACTCGGACTTCTGTTTCCTTTCTTCACACAGAGAACAGTTTCGGTATCTCAGTACTACTTTGGTGTATTTAGTTGCCTCTCGGTATAATTTATGTGGAAGCAAAAACAGTGTAGCATTTTACATCCTTGGGAAATACACAAGACTTGGATGACTAAATGTCATGTTTAGGTGTTTGTGGGGCGAGAAAGAGAAGAGTCATTGAGTTAGCAATGGGTTCCTAAATCTTAAGAGCATTATTTTGCTAATGTGTTAAAAACATTTTTCCTCCACAGAAATTCCTACAACTACTCAGAAACCCACCACGGCTCAAGTTACCAAAGCTCTGTCATCGCATCAGAAACCCACCACAGTAAATGTTCCAGCTACAGAGTCCCCACCAGCTCTTCAAAAATCCACCACAGTAAATGTTCCAGGTACAGAGTCCCCATCAACTCCTCCGAAACCAACCACAGTAAATGTTCCAGCTACCAAGCCCCCATCATCTCTTCAAAAACATACCACAGTAAATGTTCCAGCTACAGAGTCCCCATCAACTCCTCAAAAACACACCATCATAAATGTTCCAGCTACAAAGCCCCCATCAACTCCTCAAAAACCCACCACAGTAAATATTCCAGCTACGGAAGCCCCATCAACTCCTCAGAAACCCACCATCATAAATGTTCCAGCTACAAAGCCCCCATCAACTCCTCAAAAACACACCACAGTAAATGTTCCAGCTACAAAGTCCCCATCAGCTCCTCAGAAACCCACCACAGTAAATATTCCAGCTACAGAAGCCACACGAACTCTTCAGAATCTCACTACAAGAAATTCTTCAACTACAAAAGCCCTACTAATTCCTCAGAAACCCAACTTCACTGTTCCAGCTATGGATGCCCCACCAACTTCTCAGAAACCTCTCACAGCCAATGATTCAGCCACAATAGCCAAGCTATCTCCTGTCTCAAATGTTCTATCTACAGAGGCCCAACTAACAGTCCAGACTCTCATGACAAATTCTTCTGCTACACGAGCCACACCAAAACCCCAGAGCTTCACCACAACACAAGCTTCCTATACACAGAGTCTCCCAGTAACACAAAAATTCACTACGGTACATGCCCCAAAGACTAAGGGTCTCCATACCACACAAAGATTGACATCTGCTCATATTGCAGCCACACCGAATCAAGCTGTTTTCACGACACCAAGCACCTCGAAAGGAAGTGGACTCCTTACAGCAGGTGAGCTGACACCACTTACTCAGGTTCCAGAGTATATACGGATCTAAAGTGCTATGGTGGAAAATGTCAACTTGACCAGGATTACGTAATTAAATAATCTGGGATCTGTTGTAGTCAGAGTTGTTTTCATACTCATGTTTTGGACTTTCTTCCGAGGCAGAGTTGGATTGTGGTTAGGGCAAATCTTTAAAAAAGGAAACATTTTGCAATGATATAGAACAAAGGTGTGGCCCCATAAAAACGATGCTAAGTTAAGGTTGGTGAAGAAATTCTGTTTTCTAGATTAGCGTTAGGGAGTCGTTGAATTTTTCAAGACTCTTCCTAGAACCAAATATATGCCATCCTTAAAGTTGATTTCTGGGTCTGGTTCATTGACAGAGACCCGTCCCTCAAGCATGCTAAAAGCTCTCTCCAGATTCCCTAGAGTTGCTAATTTGGTAAGGCAGCTCAACAGTGTCTTCTAAGTAATTGAAAACACAGTTCTTTGAATGAGTGCATAATAATGCAGGGCTCTTTAAATAAAGGCACTTGAAGTAGAACATGCTATAGACTTTAGAACTACCTGTTGAGTGAATACATGAAACCCATTTTACTAATTAATGCTGCTTCAGACCACTAGGATGTCTTCTTGTCCCACGTCTTGCCTAATGTACAGCCATTTTTAAAAAATATATATTTTATTGATTTTTACAGAGAGAAAGGGAGAGGGATAGAAAGTTAGAAACATCCATCAGCTGCCTCCTGCACATCCACTCTGGGGATGTGGCCACAACCAAGGTACATGCCCTTGACTGGAATCGAACCTGGAACCTTTCAGTCCACAGGCCAACGCTCTATCCCCTGAGCCAAACTGGTTAGGGCTGTATAGCCATTTTTATATGCATTCTTTTCCAATAGGGATACCTATTTTGTTTTATTTTATGTTGTTCCTTGGAAAATCTCAATATAACTGAGCCAAGAGATAATTTTCAAAAACATTATTTTAACATTTTTATTGAAAACACCCATGCAGAAAACACACATGTGTGGCTTAATAACTTTTTTTAAAAAATTGAATTTATTGGGGTGACATTGCTTAATAGGATCATATAGGTTTCAGGTGTGGATTTCTGTTACACGATCTGTATATTGCACTGTGTGCCCATTACCCAAAGTCAAATCATGCACCATCATCATATATTAGGCTCCCTTCACCCCAACCCACACCCTTTGATCTGGCAACCACTACACTGCTGTTGGTGTTCATGAGTTTCAGATTTATATCCCACATATGAGTGAAATCATATGGCTCTTAGTTCTTTCTGCCTGACTTATTTCACTTAGCACAATATTCTCAAGATTGATGCATGTCATCACAAATGGCAGTATTTCATTTTTTTATGGCTGAGTAGTGTTCCATTGTGTATATGTACCAGATCTCCTTTATTCAATCCTCTATCACAGGACACATTGGCTATCTCTATGACTTGCCTACAGTGAATAACGTTGCAATAATCTAGGGATGCATACATGTTTTCGAGTTTTTGGGGTATATACCTAGGAGAAGGATTGCTGGGTCATATGGCAGCTCTAGCCTTAATTTTTTGAGGAACTGCCATACTGTTTTCCATAGTGTTTGTACCAGTCTACATTCCCACCAGCAGTGAATGAGGGTTCCCTTTCTCCACAACCTCTCCAGCACTTGTTGTTACTAGTCTTGTTGGTAATAGCCATTCTAAAAGGTGTGAGGTGGCATCTCATTGTAATTTTGATTTGCATTTCTCTAATTGCTAGTGAGGTTGAACATATTTTCATATATTGTTGGCTGTTTGTATGTTTTCTTGGAAGAGGTGTCCTATCAGATCCTCTGCCCATGTATTAATTGAGTTGTTTTTTTGTTTGGTGTTGAGTTTTATGAGTGTTTTTTATAATATATCTTAGATATTAAAACTTTGTTGGAGTTATTGTTTGCAAATATCTCCCATTTGGTTGGCTACCTCTTTGTTTTGTTGTCTTTTTTTTTTCTGTGCAGAAGCTATTTAGTTTAACGTAGTCCCATTCATTTATTTTTACATTTACTTCCATAGCTTTTGGGGTCAAGTTCATAAAATGTTCTCTACAACCATGGTCCATAAGTTTGGTACCTATGTTTTCTTCTATGTAATTTATTGGTTCAGATCTTATATTTAGGTGTGATCCATTTTAAATTAATTTTTGAACATGGGGACAAACTATAATCCAGTTTCATTCTTTTGCATGTGACTTCCAGTTTTCCCAGACCATTTATTGAAGAGAGCAATGTATTAATTATTGCAAATATATTTATTTGAAAGTAATTTTTGCAATGCCTCACTCATATTCCTTGAAAAGTTTAAATGATAAAGTGATATAGTAATTTAAGTTTTGATAACATCTGCTGAAAAAAACTTCAGTTTCTGATAGTTTTTTGAGCATAGGATTAGATCAGTAGTTACTATTTAAGCTTTTGAACTTGTTTCTTGTCATCAAATCATATGATCAAATTCACACGGTGTTTGTTTCGGTATTCAGTAACTCTTTATCATGTTTACTGTTTATAATGTTAACTTGCTGAATAGATATAGGCACTGGTGTGTATTTTATTTGATTGTTCATAATGTGTAATTGTTTTCATAAATTTATTTATAATTATTTCTTTTAGTTGTGGAAATCTGAGTTACTTTTGAACTTTCAAGTACAGTTTATATATATGAAATTTGTAGCAAATAAATGAATTTAATAATTTTTTTAAATTTTCTTCTTCTTTAGGGATTACCATCATTGCAACTGGTAAGTCTGACTCCTTGACAGTTAAAAGAAATTGTCATCGCTGTAGTAGGTACAATCCATGTTTCTGGAAGAGAATATTGTGTTATAACTGTCTTAGGTATACTGGTAAAAGGCTGTGTTCATGGAAGTCAAAGAGAAAACAGGTAAATGTATTTCGTGATTATGTTTTGTGGACACCATTAAATGTTCGGTATGTTTCTAAGTACTATTCCCAACCATGTTCTTGTTCCAAAGTAATATTAGGAAAACGTCAAATCATTGGGCCACGCAATCAAATATTATATGCCTATTGTTTTAATTCTAGGGGCCGAAGAATGACAAGAAAAGATAGTTATTAATACAGGTTCTATCCTCAAGTATTTTACAATTAATCAGAGATGACTTCTTGTTTTTTTTTTTTATCTTTATTGTTGAAAGTGTTACATATGTCCCCTTTCCCCTCCACTAACTCCTTCAAGAAATTACTTCTTGGCCATTTCTAGATTTCTGTCTTACCCTCAAATAAAACAAAGAGTGCTACCTTTGATTATATATTCTTTCTTTTCCCTTCTCTATCAGTGATTGAAAGCAAAATTATTTAAAAAAAAATATTCTGTTGCTTTAGTCATGAGGCCAAAAACAACTGTGTTGCAATTTATTTTTGCATTTGGTCCAGTCCTTTATTTTATCCATAAATATATTATTTAATGTTATATATTAACAATCTACACTAATAAAAGAGAAAAATGGTAATTGGCGTACGACGCTACCCTTTTCATTGGCTAATCAGGGCTATATGCAAATTAACTGCCAACTCAGATGGCAGTTAACTGACAACAAAGATGGCAGTTAATTTGCATATGTAGGCACAATGCAGGGAGGCAAAAGGGAAAGCAGGAAAAACCCCCCTGCCACTGACAATGCCTCCCAGCCATGATCAGAGAATCAGGCGCCTTTGCTGCCCTGGCCAGTGATAGCAGGAAGTAGGGGTGGAGCCAGCGATGGGAGCTGGGCACGGTCGAAGCTGGCAGTCCTGGGAGCTAGGGGTCCCTTGCCTGGGCCTAAAGCAGAGCCCACAATCACGGGGCTGCTGCAGCTGTGGGACCCCACTGCCCGGGCCAGATGCCTCGGCCAGAGGCGATAGGCCTGGGCAGGGGCAGAGCGGGAGATCGCGGGGAGCTGGGAGTCCCCTGACCAGGCCTAATGCCTGGGCCAGAGGCATCAGGCCTGGGTGGGGGGCGCG